ATCTAAAATCTGTTTACAATTTTTTTTCAAACTTTATTTTTAGTTTTTCTGATATTATTTTATCTATCTTTACATTGTTCGCATTTTGCTTTATTTCTTCCTGCCACAAATGGTCTATATCTAGATCTTTAAGTATAGGTTTTAACCCGGAAACCCAGTTGTAGGTGCCAGAGTTGTCTAGTTCTAAGCCGAGACTGTATGCTTCATATACCAGAGAATTTTCAAGCATTTTTTTCATTCAAGACCAGTATTTGATCATCTGTTTTATCCCTGTTGTAATGGATACCTTCCTAATTCTAAAAGACATGCCACATTGGTCGCTTTGCTGTTAACTTTGTATGTCACTGTACAGTGAACAAACTATAACTATAGCAGATTCTGTAACACCTGAAAGTTAGGGTAGTTAAGAGTGGATGGGACTTTGCACTGGCTGTAGAAGATTCCGGACACCTGAAGTTTGGGGTAGCTGAAAGATAAAGACTTGGGTGAAACACCTGAAAGTTGGGAGTAGTTGAATATGACAGAGATCAATGATTGTGCTTGAAGAATCAGTAACTCTGGTTGGGGTGTTAAATATTTAAGGACTCCAGTAGTGTAATATAATTAGTAGCAAGTCAGTAGAGATGTCAGTGTCAACATCTTCTAACAAAATGCAAGGATTGCACTGAGCTGAAAACTGGTCAAGATGTACCTCAAAGCTATTTAGAAATTCATAAAATGGGGTGTTGGGTTGGGTTGGCAGTGTTATCATATTGTAGTACCCATAGGGATAGATTCACAGAGGATACAGTTGATTGACTCAGTAAGGCTGGATGACAATGAGTGAATACAGAAAGTCACTCCACCACCCTGTGAATGGTCCTGATTATTTGTGAGTAAATTGTATGAAGACAAGTTATAAGACAAGAACTGTTTGAATGTAACCATGTTTCAGTTTGGGCAAAATTTTACTTTTGATTAATGACATTTAAAAATAATACTTACATGCTTTCAACATTAACATGCTTTTGTAGCCTAGCAATCGAAAAACTTTCTAGCTTGTCAAACTAAAAAACACACAAATATATGCGATTTACGTAGAGGGTTTGACTATTTTGAACTGTAGGCATTAATCTGCGATTCAGCCAATGACTGAAAAAGAAATCTAGGCCAGGGGAAGCCCCACAACACGCAAGACGTGACCAAGGTCGAGAGGTCAGCACCATCTTGCCTTATGTTCACTCCCCAGTTTTCTCTGTATAAGAGGACTTAAAGCCAATTGCTATGGAAAGTGGGGTGGTTGGGAGTGACCCAGAGTCTATGGTGGGTATGAACTAGGTGAATAGGCTGGCTAAATACATTACATTCAATTACCCACCATAGACTCCATTCAGTCAAAATGACTATTTTGAACTGTAGGCAGAGTCAGATTGATCAAAACTGAAAATAAAAGTACTTAAAATAATAAAATTACTTATGACTACCACCTAGGTGCAACCACTTAGAAATGGTGTGGGGTCGGCATTGCCCGAGGACGCTAGACCCGAACCCAATTCTTGGGGTAACTAGAATTCCAAAAGAAGAGGCAGAAACAGTTCTACACGAGGGCGTAAGCCGAAAGCGAGACCTGGGATGTCCAGGGAGCACTGATGGGAGAAACTTCTCCGCACAAATCTATAGCCGAGACTGCTCTATCACCTATGCGCAGAAATCCCTGTGGCCGTTCGGGCTGGGTCAACAATCAAAGTTTGGCCCATAACGATGGGGCCGTAAAAAGACCTTCCTCAATGGATCGCGTTCTCCAGAAGCCTGCCCTAAGTACATGTTTGAGGGGACACCTGACACAAGAGCTAATGAGTTAGCGATCACTCGAACCTCATGCACTCATACTTGGTGTCTCTGTCGACCCTGTGATGAGGACGCCAATCGGTTATAAACCTCAAACACTGTTGAAGTGATCCACCAAGAAATGGAAGTCAGAGAGGCTAGTTTGTCCTGCTTACCCTGGCCATAACACATAAACATGTGCTTGTTGCCCTGCATCAACTCTCTAGTACGTCTCTCTCATAGCAACTCAAAAGCTCGAAGCGGCATGGAAGCAACTCCTCCTGATCCCCAGGGCCGACAATATTGGTCAAATGAAGGATGACAATGAGCTATGGATTGTGTCCTAGGATTTGGTTCTTGGCAAGAATCCCGATTCATGTCTTTAGCACAGCTTGATTGTTCATAAAGGCGACACAACTGACCGAAAAGGCGAGAGCTAGTAGGAAGACTCTTTTCCACTTTATCATCCCGCTGCACAGAAGTAGCACCTTCCAAGAAAGCCAGACGACACTGCAGGATATCACACACAGCTGTGTGATGTCCCACCGACAAATGTGTCTAAGAACATCGCCCGAAACCCCATACCCAGCGAGGACGACCCCCACAGAGGGACCCGCAAGACCCCCATTGGAACACTAGGTTCTGGGGGCACGGCCTTGCCTTTGCTGGCATGACCTCCGGCTGTAATAACAGGCTGCAAGAATGTCCTCGGTTCCACCACTGACTGCCACAGTACAAGGGGTACAGGTAGTCGAATGGGAGGACTTCCCATACATACTAACGCTTCCAGGGCCATCTGAACCAACTGTACCACTAGCCCGAGCTCGTGCAACACACTCTGCAACATGAACACGGTTTTGGAACTTATCCCCAGTTTGGCATCCCAGTTAGAACACAGGCCGTTGTGGCAAACGCCCAAATGTATTAAACAAAATTGACATTAATGAGGGGGGTTCCAGCCCGAGAGTTCCTGGTGGCAACACAGGAGGCGAGGAGCTCTTCTTGGAGTGATTTCCTACTTGTCGGCCATTTTTGCTACACTAAGAAATGAACAAGGCACACATGAGTGAAACACATTTACAGTTGAAACTGACACAATAAAGCCCTACAAAACTGGTCATGTGTGTCACCTTATTTTTTGTGCGTGTTCAGTACAAAATGACATGGGTTCTTTAATAAGAAAAATGTTATCCTACCAGACACCACGTCTTACTGAAACCAACTGTCACAGAAGGACTGCCTCAGAAAACTGCTGACTGAACCACACTGTTTTGCTGCGATGCACACTTGATGCCGAGAAAACAGAGTGAATATAAGGCAAAATGAGCAGATCTATGAAGAACTACGAGGTTGTTGGGCTTAGATTTCTCTCCATCATTGAATCGTAGATTAATGCCTACAGTTCAAAATAGTCATTTTGACTGACCAGAGTCTATGGTGGGTAATTGAACGTAGTGAATAGGGCATAGTTTCACCCGAGATAATATCAGTAAAAATAAAGATTTGTTTTTATTTACGTATTACCGGTAACATTGTTATAATTTATAAAGCCTGTCTGTTTATAAAGGGCAATTTCTTGCTGAAGGCATTCATGGATAGCTGATATGAATGATACATAATAACATCAGTTCACTACATGTTTTGAACAATCAAATTTAGCTCAGTAGCAAGAGTTTGAATAACTAAAGTTTGATCAATTCATCTTGGAGTGTATCATTCCCAATCTATCAAAAATAACATGAACACACCCTAAAAATGTAATATTTCATTTATTATATATTACAGATTTGTTTGAGACAACATAGAATTGTGAAAACATTAATGAGGAATCAAACCAAGAAATAGTTTTAAAAAAGTTTATAAGACTATTTGTGGACTTTTAAAGTTAGTGAGCAGAATAACACACCAACCAAAAACTCGAAGGAATACCAGTAATGAGCCAAGTAAACAAAGGCACAGAATATTCCTGAGGTTGTGGGAACTAAAAATTAGTAGTTATGCAAATGCAGTAATTAATAATCATACAATTTTAGCATAACAAGTCATTGACATGACATGACTTAGTCCCCTTGTGAAATAGTAAACAAAACTGTAACCAGTTAGCCATTGTGAATCAGAACCTGACTGACTGTAAAGCCATTTGTTCATCTTTAATTGGATCACAAAACACACACACATGAGGATAAGTGTGATATCATGTATGATATATGGGTGAAGTTTGAACATGATTGCCACAACAGCATATTCATTAAAACAAAATGGCCTCCAATCGCCCATTTTGAAACTGATCTGCAAAACAAAGCAATGAAGGTCTCATAAAATTCAATGATCAAAATCCACTCATACATGCCCAAGATCTAGTTCTGAAACGGCAGAAATGCTTGATTTTGATGAATTAAAAGCATAAACATAGCATAACTATTACAACCTTGCTCATTGAGAATCTAAATTGAAAAAGTATTTGTGTCTAAGAAAAGTTTTTTTTTTCAGCCAAACTTTACCCAATAATATTGTCTTGAAAATTGCACTTGCTAGTTACACCAAAACTGTACTTGGGTGACATTTCATAGTGATTGATAAGAATAGTTTTAGATACCCTATTTCAACCACAAGAAGAAAATTTATGTGAAATTTAACCAATATCATGAAAAATATATATAGAACTTCGACCAAAATCAACCTTGGTTGAGATTTCAGGCTGGTTAATATAATATCCAAGTTTGAAATAAATTGGGAAAAAAATGTTTGAGTTATTGTAACCACAAGAAAAAATATTACCGGTAGGATGGAGTCAACAATGATGATAACAACAACAGAGAACATGCTATTTCCCTTCATATACCTTGACCATCATGTATGATAATATGGACAAGGTAAATTAGATTGTAAACAAGAATGTGTATATGCCTTCCAAGAATGTGAAGATTAAATATGATTGACTAAGGCATGTAAACAATACATGTGCCAGAACCACCAGACGATTGTGACAGAACTTTGCTGAAACAATCTTTGACTGTCCCAGCAGTGTTCTGACAATGATGGGCTATTGACGCATAGGAAACACCATTGGATAGTGTGTGTGGTTTGAGTTAGCTGCTACATTCTTGTTGATTCTATGTCAGAAACCCTTCAAATTTTGCAGTTACGTATTAGATAAGGTCAGAGTGCATGAGACAGTAACTATCAAATGAGGATCACAGCTCAGCATGTTTCTGTTTTTCATCTACATGTTTATCTTTTATATACACAGTAGTTTCTTCCTCAGTCATTATTTCCTGAGATTCTGTGGATGTACTCTCTTTTCTTTTCAAACTGTGTTCATCTGTTTCTGCAGACTCTTCATCACTTTTTTCATCAGCAACATTCTCCTCTTTCTGATTTTCCAAAGGTTTTACATCTAATGACTCCATATCACCCTTTGACTGCTCACCACTGTCTGGTTCAGGTTTTTCTGTTTCTTTATCAACCTTTGGGATGTCCAACACCAGATCACCCTTTTCATCATCAACACTAAACCAGTCTTCATAAACCTTATAAGGATCATTGTTCCAGTGTTTGTGGAATGATACTGGTGTCTGATGTTGCAGAAATGATTTACAATAATCATCAGGTCTTGCCTGGTAAACAAAAGACAATATGAAATTGAATCTGATTCATAAAAATATGCAAACAGCAAATATAGCATTATGGTCCATTAAAGAACAAGTGTTAATTCGAAATCTTCAAGTTTTACTCTATTTATTGAGGTCCATAGACAATTATGTTAAATATTTAATGGCATGAATGTGTGGAAAATGAGAGAAATAGTCACACTTCTTAGTATTTCAGAACAGACGCCAATCCACATTTGGCGTAACACAATTCAATCTTATGAGAAGCAAGAATGATCACTAACATTTCAAACAGGTTGAAAATATTCGGTGTATATTTCTGGCAATTTAGACAAATTTAGATTAACAAATATGTTTCATAATAGTTTCAAGACCCAAATGAATGATCTGAAAGCGAAGCTTTAATACAGTCACAAATATTCAATAACACTTTTATTTAGTTTTTCATTATATTTAATCAGATATGTTTCCCCATAACGCATTGTATATATGCTCAGT